AACCTGGAATTAAAATAAAAAATTTGGGGGTTTGTATCATTTGATTTACACAACATGCCTACCACTTTGAAGATGCAAAATATTTTTTTGTGTGAAACAAATGAGAAATAAGACGACAAAACAGAACTTGAGCGTGCATAACTATTCACCCCCCCAAAGTCAATACTTCGTAGAGACACCTTTTGCAGCAATTACAGCTGCAAGTCTCTTGGGGTATGTCTCTATAAGCTTGGCACATCTAGCCACTGGGATTTTTGCCCATTCTTCAAGGCAAAACTGCTTCAGCTCCTTCAAGTTGGATGGGTTCCGCTGGTGTACAACAATCTTTAAGTCATACCACAGATTCTCAATTGGATTGAGGTCTGGGCTTTGACTAGGCCATTCCAAGACATTTAAATGTTTCCCCTTAAACCACTCGAGTGTTGCTTTAGCAGTATGCTCAGGGTCATTGTCCTGCTGAAAGGTCATCCTCCGTCCCAGTCTCATCTCTGGAAGACTGAAACAGGTTTCCCTCAATAATTTCCCTGTATTTAGCGCCATCCATCATTCCTTCAATTCTGACCAGTTTCCCAGTTCCTGCTGATGAAAAACATCCCCACAGCATGATGCTGCCACCACCATGCTTCACTGTGGGGATGGTGTTCTCGGGGTGATGAGAGGTGTTGGGTTTGCACCAGACATAGCGTTTTCCTTGATGGCCAAAACGCTCAATTTTAGTCTCATCTGACCAGAGTACCTTCTTCCATATGTTTGGGGAGTCTCCCACATGCCTTTTGGCGAACACCAAACGTGTTTGCTTATTTTTTTCTTTAAGCAATGGCTTTTTTCTGGCCACACTTCCATAAAGCCCAGCTCTGTGGAGTGTACGGCTTAAAGTGGTCCTACGGACAGATACTCCAATCTCCGCTGTGGAGCTTTGCAGCTCCTTCAGGGTTATCTTTGGTCTCTTTGTTGCCTCTGATTAATGCCCTCCTTGCCTGGTCTGTGAGTTTTGGTGGGCGGCCCTCTCTTGTCAGGTTTGTTGTGGTGCCATATTCTTTCCAATTTTTTAATAATGGGTTTAATGGTGCTCCGTGGGACGTTCAAAGTTTCGGATAATTTTTTATAACCCAACCCTGATCTGTACTTCTCCACAACTTTGTCCCTGACCTGTTTGGAGAGCTCCTTGGTCTTCATGGTGCTGCTTGCTTGGTGGTGCCCCTTGCTTAGTGTTGTTGCAGACTCTGGGGCCTTTCAGAACAGGTGTGTGTGTATATGTGTGTGTGTATGTATATATATATATATATATATATATATATATATATATATATATATATATATATATATATATATATATATATATATACACACACACATATACAGTGGGGAGAACAAGTATTTGATACACTGCCGATTTTGCAGGTTTTCCTACTTACAAAGCATGTAGAGGTCTGTAATTTTTATCATGAGGGAAGGAGGTTGTTGGCCAAGATCTCGCGATACATGGCCCCATCCATCCTCCCCTCAATACGGTGCAGTCGTCCTGTCCCCTTTGCAGAAAAGCATTTCCAAAGAATGATGTTTCCACCTCCATGCTTCACGGTTGGGATGGTGTTCTTGGGGTTGTACTCATCCTTCTTCTTCCTCCAAACACAGCGAGTGGAGTTTAGACCAAAAAGCTCTATTTCTGTCTCATCAGACCACATGACCTTCTCCCATTCCTCCTCTGGATCATCCAGATGGTCATTGGCAAACTTCAGACGGGCCTGGACATGCGCTGGCTTGAGCAGGGGGACCTTGCGTGCACTGCAGGATTTTAATCCATGACGGCGTAGTGTGTTACTAATGGTTTTCTTTGAGACTGTGGTCCCAGCTCTCTTCAGGACATTGACCAGGTCCTGCCGTGTAGTTCTAGGCTGATCCCTCACCTTCCTCATGATCATTGATGCCCCACGAGGTGAGATCTTGCATGGAGCCCCAGACCGAGGGTGATTGACCGTCATCTTGAACTTGCATTCTCACCAAGCTGCTTGCCTATTGTCCTGTAGCCTCAACTGGCAGCTTCATTAAATAGTACCCGCAAAACACCAGTCTCAACGTCAACAGTAAAGAGGTGACTACCGGATGCTGACCTTCTAGGCAGAGTTGCAAAGAAAAAGCCATATCGCAGACTGGCCAATAAAAAGAAAAGATTAAGATGGGCAGACTGAGAAATGGCTTTTTCTTTGCAACTCTGCCTAGAAGGTCAGCATCCTGGAGTCGCCTCTTCACTGTTGACGTTGAGACTGGTGTTTTGCGGGTACTATTTAATGAAGCTGCCAGTTGAGGACCTGTGAGGCGCCTGTTTCTCAAACTAGACACTAATGTATTTGTCCTCTTGCTTAGTTGTGCACCGGGGCCTCCCACTCCTCTTTCTATTCCGGTTAGAGCCAGTTTGCACTGTTCTGTGAGGGTGTAGTACACAGCGTTGTACGAGATCTTCAGTTTCTTGGCAATTTCTCGCATGGAATAGCCTTCATTTCTCAGAACAAGAATAGACTGACGAGTTTCAGAAGAAAGTTCTTTGTTTCTGGCCATTTTGAGCCTGTAATCAAAGCAACAATTGCTGATGCTTCAGATACTCAAGAAGGCCAGTTTTATTGCTTCTTTAATCAGCACAACAGTTTTCAGCTGTGCTAACATAATTGCAGAAGGGTTTTCCAATGATCAACTAGCCTTTTTTTTAAATGATAAACTTGGATTAGCACACACAACGTGCCATTGGAACACAGGACTGAATGTTGCTGATAATGGGCCTCTGTACGCCTATGTAGATATTCCATTAAAAATCAGCCGTTTCCAGCTACATTAGCCATTTACAACATTAACAGTGTCAACACTGTATTTCTGATCAATTTGATGTTATTTTAATGGACCAAAAAATTGCTGTTCTTTCAAAAACAAGGACATTTCTAAGTGACCCCAAAACTTTTGAACGGTAGTGTGTGTATATATATATACTCTTTTTAAATACTGCTAAATGAATATTGGGGAAACCCTGTTGAAGTTGAACTGTATATGGGCCTATTCTCCCATCTAAAAGGTTCTTCCTTTAAAAGTTTCCAGCTTATGCCGCAACCGTTTGTGGTAGATGGTGGTAGATGGTGGTAGATGGTGGCAGATGGTGGCAGATGGTGGCAGATGGTGGTAAATTGCGTCATTCTGTCATTGCACCACACTATCACAAGGAGGAGTTGGAACGCTGATCTATCGGTAGTTTAAACTGTGGCGCAAATTGACTATCTTTTCGTAAATTAATGGAGTTGAGTGAGAACTTGGGTAAATACAATGGCGCAATTACACTTGACATGTGGACTGACGTTTTTCAAAAAATAGGCATGGTGGGCTTTTGGTTTCTCTCCCTCTAAAAACCACGTCTGGATGGATCCATAACGAATTACTATGGGAATAAATATCACTGAATGACAGACACTGGAATAAGTAGGCTAATGAAGGCAACATTGTTGCTAACTGAAACACACAAAGTCATCCAATTGTTATAATACGTTTGAAGCAATGGCCTACCTGCGTGTGGTCAACTATTTCAGCATCGTTCCGCGCTGCTTTGAGACAAGCATGGGGACTGGTCTTGATAAATCAATCAGATGTTTATTTTCACTGAATCTCCATTTGGGTATTGGTTAGCCTACAATTAGGGTGTGGAAATGTTAGGATTATTTTGCTCTTCACTCGCAGTCACTTAGTAGCCTAGCCCTACTCCCGACCGGTCACGTTGGACAGCGCCATATTTACCTAATGGAAACCCTGAGGCCTACATGGGCTCCTGTAAAATGCATTTTAGTTTTTCTTGGAATAGAAACACCATAATATTAATCAATTTAATGAAGCTACATATCTAACAGTATAAACAGCACAACAAATACTATAATAATTGTAAAATAAATTATAATCAATCCCATATAGTCTGTTCTAACCAACAAAAAAAAAGTTTCGTCTGTACAGCCAATATTAAAAACGGTCAAATGCATTCGTGAATTCAATCGCTTTAGCCGACATGTTGGGGTTTATTCATTGTTTAATTATTCAAGGCGTCCTTTTGTTATTTCGTTTTATAACTAAAATGCTTGACTGTATTTAAAGACATGGATGACTTGTGTGATGACATTCACAAATGAATGAATGAATGAATGATTGATTGATATACTGTATATTGAACTGGGCCTTTATGCCAATAAGTAAGTTAGGCTAAAACAGCTACAGTAAACAGAACTTAGGCCTACAGCTCCATGTCATTTCAGTAACTTAGCTTCTCAAAGATGCTCTCTGGTGTTCAAACTAGCACTAATGGCAACAATGGCTGACAGTAAAATAATATGACGTCATGCACTCTAACATGCCATACCATTACACAGCACCCTGCAAGCTGTGCTGCAGTATGACACAACTTTTAAAGGAAGAACCCACTGTATGTATGCTGCTGTGGCTGACGACCAGATGATGATGGGCTCAGCCAGTTCCTCACAAGATTTCTTCCTTCTATATGGTTATCACTGTCAACAGTCACCACATCCAAAGCCAAATCTGATGTTAAAGAAAGGCAGCGCTGGCAACACACATTGTGTTAGTCTAAAAAGGCCTGTAAGTTTAGGGCCGTGACGATACCAGTATTGCTATAATTTATCCATGGCAATAATGAAAACACGAAGCAGACAACTATTTGTTCCTTTAAAAACCTGCTATTTTTAAAATATTGTGTGCTTTAGCTTGGAAAAAATAAATAAATGTGACTGGATGACAACATAATTATATTAGTTTCCAACATTAGGGCTGTTTTCCTAAAGAAGTGAAATTCGATTTGTGTTTTGTTTCCTTGCCACGATACTAACGAGTATCGCAATAGTATCGTCCCGGCCCTATCTAAGTTTCGATTTCTTAAGAGCTCTGGAACAGTGACACATTTCCTTGTTAAAAGAAATGTTCACATTTTGTTGATTGGTTGAGTTATTCTTTCTTTCTGCAGGTTTCTGCTGGAGTCTTTGGAGGACCTGGACAGCAGTTTGAGGAAGCTGAATTCTAGACTGTTTGTGGTGCGTGGCCAACCTGCCAACGTGTTTCCCAGTCTCTTTAAGGTACAGTGTCAAGTGACGTTTAGCCCTACAACTTTGATTTTGGGTTATACTGGTTTATGTAATAAGCATTTTAATTGAATTGGCTACAGCAAAAGCACATATGTCTACAGTTGCTAGCAGTGACTTTTAAAAACATATTGGCCAAAACGTATTACTGTACTTTAGCACAAGACAGTTAAGCTATCTCATTCTCTCATTGCCAGCCTTGTCAATACCCAAGTCTTTTCTTACCTGGATGTGATGTAGACGAGGCTACTACTCCTTAATGACTGGAATCAGTGGGTGTATTGAGTTGTGATGGTTCACTACACCTTGAATCATGGGGCAATGCAGTGAACATCTTCCATGGTATGGCTTCATTCGGATTATCATAATAGTATTCTACAGCACCATGCATTTGAGTAATACTGTGTCACCTGTGCTATTGCGACCCTAGCTAACGTGTGTCTGACAGAGCTGCATTGTTTTGGAAGGGTCACCTTTGATCTCCAGTCACAAAATATATGACCACGAATAACATAATATTACCCTCATTATTGTAAAGTTAAGCTACAGATTTATTTTGTCTAGTTTTTGATTATTTCTGTACTTGTCTGACATTTTACTGCACATTTAGGAGCTAGTAACACAAGCATTCGCTGCACCTGCTATAACATCTGCTAAACTGTGTACGTGACCAGGATGCGTACCCATAGCATGCACTGACCAGCTGGCAAGTGTCTTCACTGACATTTTCAACCTCTACCTGACCCAGTCTGTAATACCTACATATTTCAAGCAGACCACCATAGTCTCTGTGCCCAAGAACGCCAAGGTAACCTGTCTAAATGACTATCGCCCCGTAGCACTCGCATCTATAGCCATGAAATGCTTTGAAAGGCTGGTCATGTCTCACATCAACACCATCATCCCAGACACCCTGTACCCACTCCAATTCACATACCTCCCCAACAGATCCACAGATGACACGATCTCTATTGCACTCCATGCTTCCTTTTCCCACCTGGACAAAAGGAACACCTACGTGAGAATGCTGTTCACTGACTACAGCTCCGTGTTTAACACCATACTGCCTTCCAAACTCATCATTAAGCTAAGGACCCTGGAACTGAACACCTCCCTCTGCAACTGGAACCTGGAGTTGATCGTGGACTACAGGAAAGGGAGGGCTGAGCACACCCCATTCACATCGACTGGGCTGTAGTGCAGTGGGTCGAGAGCTTCGAGTTCCTCTGTGTCCACATCACTAAGGACCTATCATGTTCCAAACACACCAACCCAGTTGTGAAGAGGGAACGACAATGCCTCATCCGACTCAGGAGGCTGAAAAGATTTGGAATGGGCCCTCAGATCCTCAAAGTTCTAGAGCTGCACCATTGAGAGCATCTTGACTGGCTGCATCACCGCTTGGTATGACAGCTGCTTGGCATCCTACCGTAAGGCGCTACAGAGTGTAGTGCGTATGGCCCAGTACATCACGGAGGCCGAGCTCCCTGCCATTCAGGACCTCTATACCAGGTGGTGTCAGAGGAAGGCCCTAAATATTGTAAGACTCCAGCCACCCAAGTCATAGACTGCTTTCTCTGCTACCGCACGGCAAGCGGTACCGGAGTGCCGAGTCTGGGACCAAAAGGCTCCTGAACAGCTTCTACCCCCAAGCCATAAGGCTCCTGAACAGCTTCTACCCCCAAGCCATAAGGCTCCTGAACAGCTTCTACCCCCAAGCCATAAGACTGTTGAACAGTTAATCAAGTGGCTATCCGGTCTATTTGCATTGCCCCTCTTTTTTTTTTTTACTAACTCTCTTGCAATGACTCTATGCACACTCACTAGACTCTACCCACACACTACATACGCTCACACACACTCTCATGCGTATTGACGCCACACTTTCATACACACTTTCATACACACTCTTCACATATAGTGGATTCGGAAAGTATTCAGACCCCTTGACTTTTTACACATTTTGTTACGTTACAGCCTTATTCTAAAATGGGTTAAATTGTTTTTTTCCCTCATCAATCTACACACAATACCCCATAATGACAAAGCAAAAACAGGTTTTTAGAAATGTTTGCAAATGTATAAAAATGTAACTGAAATATCACATTTACATAAGAATTCAGACCCTATACTCAGTACTTTGTTGAAACGCCTTTGGCAGCAATTACAGCCTTGAGTCTTCTTGGGTATGACGCTACAAGCTTGGCACACCTGTATTTGGGGAGTTTCTCCCATTCTTCTCTGCAGATCCTCTAAAGCTCTGTCAGGTTGGATGGGGAGCGTCGCTGCACAGCTATTTTCAGGTCTGGGCTCTGGCTGGGCCACTCAAGAACATTCAGAGACTTGTCCCGAAGACACTCCTGCGTTGTCTTGGCTGTGTGCTTAGGGTGATTGTCCTGTTGGAAGGTGAACCTTCGCCCCAGTCTGAGGTCCTGAGCGCTCTGGAGCAGGTTTTCATCAAGGATCTCTCTACTTTGCTCCGTTCATCTTTCCCTCGATCCTGACTAGTCTCCCAGTACCTGCCGCTGAAAAACATCCCCACAGCATGATGCTGCCACCACCATGCTTCACCGTAGGGATGGTGCCTGGTTTCCATCAGACGTGACACTTGGCATTCAGGCCAAAGAGTTCAATCTTGGTTTCATCAGACCCGAGAATCTTGTTTCTCATTACATTTACATTTTAGTCATTTAGCAGACGCTCTTATCCAGAGCGACTTACAGTTAGTGAGTGCATACATTATTTTATTTTATTTTTTTTTATTTTTCATACTGGCCCCCCATGGGAATCGAACCCACAACCCTGGCGTTGCAAACGCCATGCTCAACCAACTGAGCTACATCCGGCCATTCCCTCCCCTACCCTGGACGACACTGGGCCAATTGTGCGCCGCCCCATGGGTCTCCCGGTCACGGCCGGCTACGACAGAGCCGGTCTGAGAGTCCTTTAGGTGCCTTTTGGCAAACTCCAAGCGGGCTGTCATGTGCCTTTTACTGGGGAATGGCTTCCGTCTGGCCACTCTACCATAAAGGCCTGATTGGTGGAGTGCTGCAGAGATGGTTGTCGTTCTGGAAGGTTATCCCATCTCTACAGAGGAGCTCTGTCAGAGTGACCATCGGGTTCTTGGTCACCTCCCTGACCAAGGCCCTTCTCCCCCGATTGCTCAGAGTGGCCAGCTCTAGGAAGAGTCTTGGTGGTTCCAAACTTCTTCCATTTAAGAATGATGGAGGCCACTGTGTTCTTGTGGACCTTCAATGCTGCAGAAATGTTTTGGTACCCTTCCCCAGATCTGTGCCTCGACACAATCCGGTCTCGGAGCTCTACAGTTAATTCCTTCGACCTCATGGCTTGGTTTTTGCTCTGACATGCACTGTCAACTGTGGGACCTTATATAGACAGGTGTGTGCCTTTCCAAATCATGTCCAATCAATTGAATTTACAGCAGGTAGACTCCAATGAAGTTGTAGAAATATTTAAAGGATGATCAATGGAAACCGGATGCACCAGAGCTCCATTTTGAGTCTCATAGCAAAGGGTATGAATAGTTAGGTAAATAAGGTACCAGCCAAAATATTTTAGCTTATTTAGTAAATATTTTCTTAACTCTATTTCTTGAACTGCATTGTTGTTGGTTAAGGGCTTGTAAGTAAGCATTTCACGGTAAGGTCTACACCTGTTGTATTCGGCGCATGTGACAAATAAAATGTGATTTGATATTAAGCAAAACCAGATGGCACCATTTTCTTTTTTTAAATTTACGGATAGCCAGGGGCACGCTCCAACACTCGGACATCATTTACAGATAGCCAGGGGCACGCTCCAACACTCAGACATAATTTACAAACTAAGCGTATGTGTTTAGTGAGTTCGCCAGATAAGAGACAGTAGGGATGACCAGGGATGTTCTCTTGATTATTGCATGAATTGGACCATTTTCCTGTCCTGCTAAGCATTCAGAATGTAACAAGCACTTTTGGGTGTCAGGGAAAATGTATGGAGTAAAAAGTACATTTGTTTTTTTTAGGACAAGTGTAAGTTGTAAAAATGATCAATAGTGAAGTACAGATACCCCCCAAAAAATGACTTAAGTAGTACATTGGGATTAGGGAAAATATGATTTGAATGGGAATACATTTTTCCTCCCCAAATCGGCATTTATAGCCAGATGAGAGTTGTTTCCGGCAGTAGCTTAGGCTACTTTTATTCCGGTAAAACACAATTTTCTACAGTGCATTTGCTAAAAAAGAACCTAGCAAATTACACTGGTTGTCACTCAACTAATAAAGCCTACTATTGCGCAAGCCATTGCACAAACATTTGAATGCTGAAGGTGCCGCACAGATGTGCCAGATTGGGGAAAAGGCCTATCTCTCGTTGGTCAGCGCGCGAAGCTGCACAAAACGCCCAGTTTGACTAGGCTACTGATATTTCCTGAGGTTGTTCAGTATGCAAAATGACTTGTAGATCAGTGACTGTCAACACAATTACATGCTTAGTTCGACACTGAAGGAGAGGACGAAGTTGTCACAAAAGATGAGAGGTATTTTCGGAAGGTATAGTAATTTGAGCAAAAAAATATTGTGGACTGACAATTCGTAACGTTTTTAATCGATTTCCTGACTGACGCATGCTACATTTGTATCTGTTTGGGGTCCCGCAGATCGATGCACTCCTATCTTACGCATCGGTCCCCAGTTCAAATGTTTATCTGTGAATCGTTACATCTCAATTAATTACCCACATTTTCAACCATACATACTCATTTTAATCTGACAGTGAAGTTTGGTCATGCATGAGACAAGATGATGAATCACCATTTAGTCTTGAGAGAACATTTAGGAAATAGCCAATGAGTAAATCAAGGAACACTGAACAAACTGTAAAGAACAAATTATCTGCTGCCAGTACCAAGCAATCTGCACATCCACTCACCTGTTCTCACGTCTGAGAAATGGCACTTATTTTGCAGGTATCAATTCACCTCTATGAAAGGTTGATGACTAAGAGCAGAGCTGTACACGTCACCTCAGATTGCCTCTGTCTTCAAGGCTGCTTGTCATAATACAGTAATTCGGAAGATATTTGCTTCTGAATTACCACTTTGCCACACTTGAGTTTTTCAGATGTCCAATTTACAGTGCTAGAATACATGTTGTGAACATGTAGTGTGTGACGCACTGACCAGCCGTTTGGAGAAAGGGTTGTTTATGCAAGAGTCCTTCAGGTCTGAGGAGAGGGGGAGAGGGCACTCTGTATATTTCACTTTCAGTAGTAAGCTCTCATTATCATGGGCTCAGCAGCAAGGCCTACTGTAGATAGAGGAAAAGCTATAGAGGTCAGATGTCTATAAACTCCAATAACAGCGATGCAGATACAGCGCCCTCTGCTGTCTGTAGACCTAGTGAATGTGGTTATAGTGATCAAATTGTTCTGCAGATCACTATAGGAGCAGTACACTGAAGCAGCATACATTGCTGCATTTATTCAGCCACTGCTTCAACAAGTAGGATGTTTAGAGGGTTCTGTGACCTGCACTGACCACTGGTTTCAGCAAGCACTGATGGAGAATCCTGTTGTTTTGACCTTTCCCCTTTGTGTAGCCTAGATTCTAGCCATCTGCCATGTAGCCTAGATTGTAATATTAATGTTTACTGATCTGTAGGCCTATGTCTGGGAGATGAGGCTAGTCTGGCATATCTGGCAACAGAAGGTCCCAATAACATCAGAGAGAAATGATCTCAACCCCAGTTAGCGTTCCATTGTGACTTAAGGTAGTACATATGGCATGTTATTCTCTCTCTCTCTCTGTCTCTTTGTCCTCCTCCTCCTGTCTGTAGGAGTGGAACGTCACCCGGTTGACCTTTGAGTATGACTCTGAGCCCTATGGGAAGGAGAGAGATGGAGCCATCATTAAAATGGCCCAGGAGTTTGGAGTGGAGACCATAGTGAGGAATTCTCACACACTCTACAACTTGGACAGGTTAGTCACTGACTGTCACACTCAGTAGGAAGGGTCCAATTTGTCAATTTTTTTATTTCCCCATTATACTGCTTATCTAACCTTGTCCCAAATCGGTTTGTGCTGTATAGCCGCAGGACAATGACTATATGAGTTGGCAAGACGGCACAAACAGATCTGCGATCAGGCTAGTGCTTACCTACCCAAGTCATATTTTAAGTTGTCTCCCATTTCCGATTAGTCCAATAACAGCACCAAGGGAGGCTGGTGGGAAGATCTATAGGAGGACGGGTTCATTGTAATGCCTGGAATCCAATCAATGGAATGGTACCAAACACATGGAAATAACGTGTTTGACTCCATTCCATTGATTCCATTCCAGCCATTACAATGAACCTGTCCTCCTATCACTCCTACCAACAGCCTCCTCTGATGAGCACATCCAATAGTGATTTGAATGTTGAGCTCACACTGTTCCCAGTGCTATTCAACACCTTGTTGGATAAACCAGAGCAAACTGTCTCCCAGGGAAAATCTAACTGCACTGGTGCTGTAACACATCTGAGATGATGCTACATTTTAACTATGCCATGGGGACAGCCAGCTGACTGTCTGGTGTCATCACAACCAGAACAGAACAGTGTGGGAAATAAACTTACCCCAGCAATACTGTAAAATCCCAAATTAACAGATTATTTGACCAGAGAGAAATCCATAAGATTTTGACAGCATATTTTGTCTGACCAGTAGGCTAAGCGGCGTCCGTATACCACCGGAAGTCAAACTAGAGCGCAATGCAGTGGGTAACATAAATGTGATTCGATGCTCTAAAGACACATGCTGCAAACAGAGCTCCAGAGCTCAAATGGTAAAAGCATTCACTGACCTAGAACCAGCTGAAAGAGTTTTGATGTTCTACTTCTTACTAACAGACAGTCCCATAGAGTCCCATAGCTCAGTGCTGCCGTCTATTGGTGGTTTAATGTAACTGACAGTCACACTTCACAACATGTGCAGGCTCCAGGCAGTGGGAGGAGGAAATGGCTGAGCAGGGAGGCAGTCACTGTGGCAGACATGTGCGTGGCAGGCAGGTGGGATGGCGGTGCTCAGCCATTGCATCCTCTCTGCTGCTGGATACACATGGGGGCTTCTGACACGCCTGCTCGGCCCGACCCACAATATGAGTTGATCCAATAGGAATACCTCAAAGGGCCCAAACGGCACCAATATAGATGGCCGTTGTATAAGATGGGACATATTTATGAGATGCACGTTGTAACTTAATCAGGCCATGGTTAGAGGATAACTAGGTTGTGCCCTCACCAACAATGCTTTGTTCTGTTATGAGTCATGATGTTGGCAGATTAAAAAAAATATATACTTTGATGTACTTTATGTATAAACTGTATATGAGTAATGGAGAAGATGAATAACAACTTGATAACTAATGATCCAATCCAGTACCATTACTATGTTTACTTTACAAGTTGACTATCAATCATTTATACTGTAAGTTTTTAGATGGTACAGAATGTCAGACTGAAAAGTACAACTGTATTGATATTATCATGTTTTGAATTGTGCTGAGAAATGATGTACCGGGCAGTTAATTTAAACAACCAATTTGCTGACGTGCAAAGATCACCACATCAGTATCAATTGGCATTTCAAAAAGTAATGTTCTGTTTTTAATCCTTAAATGTTTTAATTATTTCTACCTCTACCTTTACGCCGTTATCTTCAGGATCATTGAGCTGAACAACTGCCCTCCGCTCACGGTCAAGAATCACCCGTGCGTTTTCTTCACAGCATCACTTCATCACATCAACAGTATTATTATGGACATTTCAACAAAGTTACCTCGGGCCTGGTATTCACAAAACGTCTCGGAGTAGAAGTGCTGATCTAGGATCAGTTTTGCCTTTTTTAGATCGTAATGAATAAGATAACAAGGGCAGGGTGAGGACCTGATCCTAGGGCAGGGTGAGGACCTGATCCTAGGGCAGGGTGAGGACCTGATCCAAGGGCAGGGTGAGGACCTGATCCTAGGGCAGGGTGAGGACCTGATCCTAGGGCAGGGTGAGGACCTGATCCTAGGGCAGGGTGAGGACCTGATCCTAGGGCAGGGTGAGGACCTGATCCTAGGGCAGGGTGAGGACCTGATCCAAGGGCAGGGTGAGGACCTGATCCTAGGGCAGGGTGAGGACCTGATCCAAGGGCAGGGTGAGGACCTGATCCTAGGGCAGGGTGAGGACCTGATCCTAGGGCAGGGTGAGGACCTGATCCAAGGGCAGGGTGAGGACCTGATCCTAGGGCAGGGTGAGGACCTGATCCAAGGGCAGGGTGAGGACCTGATCCTAGGGCAGGGTGAGGACCTGATCCTAGGGCAGGGTGAGGACCTGATCCAAGGGCAGGGTGAGGACCTGATCCTAGGGCAGGGTGAGGACCTGATCCTAGGGCAGGGTGAGGACCTGATTCTAGGTCAGCATTCCTACTCTGAGACGCTTTATGAATACGGTCCCATATCTCAATATGTTTTAATCTCACTATCCTTCATGTTTCTACTGTTGTCAGGGTCATTGAGATGAACAACGGCAGTCCCCCGCTGACCTTCAAGAGGTTCCAGGCCTTAGTGAACAGGCTAGAGCTACCAATGAAACCCCTGCCCACAATCACACAAGAACAGATGGACAGTTGTCGGACGAAGATCGCTGACAACCACGACGAACACTACAGCGTCCCCTCTCTGGAAGAGCTCGGTAATCAATCAATCAATCAATCAAATGTATTTTAAAGCCCCTTTGACAGCAGCAATCACATAGTACATTTAGAGTAACCCTGCATAGACTCCATCCAGACCATGTGAAATAATTACATTCAATTATGGATTGTCATTTTGACTTGGGTGTACCATATATTTTTTTATCACCTGTTAAAACAATTTATATAATAATAATATGCCATTTAGCAGACGCTTTTATCCAAAGCGACTTACAGTCACGTGTGCATAAATTTTTACGTATGGGTGGTCCCGGGGATCGAACCCACTACCCTGGCGTTACAAGCGCCATGCTCTACCAATTGAGCTACTATAATAGTGCTAGTCACTAATGCATTTATACCATTGAGTTCTCCAGAACTGTAACATCCTGTTAATTACCATGTACTGTCTGTGAGGCAAAATGTAGTCACAGTGTACATGGCATCTGACTGTTCTGTTCTCCAGGATTCAAGACTCAAGGCCTGAACCCTGCGGTGTGGAAGGGAGGGGAGTCTGAAGCGCTAGAGAGACTCAACAAACACTTAGACAGAAAAGCCTGGGTGGCTAACTTTGAGCGACCCAGGATCAACATGTGTTCGCTGATCGCCAGCCCCACAGGCCTCAGCCCCTACCTACGCTTTGGATGCTTATCATGTCGAGTCTTCTACTACAACCTGAGGGAACTCTACATGAAGGTACCGAGCGCTTTGATAACCACAATGGAGATCTTTTTATAAGAAAACATGTTGGTGTTTGTTGGAATGGGATAAAGAAGCTATTTGATCATGTAATGGTAATATCGATGTAAAATACCATTTGTTTCTCCTTGCTCTCTGTGGTATAGGCTGGGTTACTGTAAAGCACAACTGCTGATGGAAAAAGTGATTTTGATTGATTGGTGTTTCTCTATCCATCCCTCCCACTCAGTTGCGGAAGCATTGCAGCCCCCCGCTCTCTTTATTCGGCCAGCTTCTGTGGAGAGAATTCTTCTATGCAGCGGGCACCAACAATCCAAACTTCGACCGGATGGAGGGCAACCCCATCTGTGTTCAGATCCCCTGGGACCATAACCCTGAGGCCCTGGCCAAGTGGGCAGAGGGGAGCACAGGCTTCCCCTGGATAGACGCTATCATGACCCAGCTGAGGCAGGAGGGTTGGATCCACCACCTGGCCAGACACGCTGTGGCCTGCTTCCTGACCCGGGGAGACCTGTGGATCAGCTGGGAGAGCGGCATGAGGGTAGGTTAGATTCCCTTAACTCCAGTAGTTTAAGTCAACTTTTTCTGCATTGGAGGAGAAGATCCAAGGTCTCCCTTTTGACCTTCTCCTCCAATGGGCTTTGAGAAGGAGGCGAGGAGAGGGCGTGCAAGGAATCAAAGACTAATTGAGAAAGAACCAGTGTCACCCAACGTGAACTACCATGCCATAACAAAGGTTGTGGAGAAGCTTTAGTATATTAGGAGGACACGTAGCAGTAACCTGTAAAGCTTGTCATCAGTGTAGGTAGCTCTGGCCAGTGTAGGTAGCTCTGGCCAGTGTAGGTAGCTCTGGCCAGTGTAGGTAGCTCTGGGATAAGCCACAAAGCCTGTCAATGTCTTATATCATGTAACGCTGGGGCTTTTCTCTAGTCGTTTGTCCAGGTGTTAGAAGAGCTTTTACTGAATACAGTGTCAACACACAGTGTTTACTTTACCTTAGTACTTCCATAAAGCAATCCACACACACAAAGACATTGGGGGTTTACGTTGACAAGGGAAAACGTGGGGATTTAATGTATATAAAAAGCAGAAAGACATAACGTGAGACGGTAGTGGTGCCGCTTCCCTGGTATCTACTGTATTCTGTGCTGGTTGGTTCTGCCTGTCAGGTGTTCGAGGAGCTGCTGCTGGATGCAGACTGGAGTGTGAACGCAGGCAGCTGGATGTGGCTCTCCTGCAGTGCCTTCTTCCAGCAGTTCTTCCACTGTTACTGCCCTGTGGGCTTCGGAAGGAGGACCGACCCCAGCGGAGACTACATCAGGTACACACACTGACCTATGGGGTTCGGACAGAGGACAGTGATTGGTCTGTGATTACCGCGTATGTGCTTTGGCTGAATAATTCAATAAACTATTGATCCAGAGAGGGGAAATTGGATCTTTCACTAATGTAAGACTCATACAGGCACAATAAAGACACACAGGCATATTTCAGAACACATTGATCTGAGCACTAATGGCAGGGTTGAGTATCAACTGGTTGTGGGTCTGGCTGTGCTTTGGGTCTGCCTGTGGTCCCAGGACTGGAACCTGGTCGGCAGATGGGTCAAGGACAGGGCCGGACATTGGACTCCGGGCTAGTGCTGGGTCTGGCAATGGGCCAAGGTCAGGCATATCTGCAAGGGCAACAGGTGTAGTAGGGATCTGGACCAGAGTTGAGTCCGGTGATGGCTGGTCCAGGAGACACACTGGCTGGGGTGTCAGTTGTTGTGTCCGCTCAGGCACCAGTGGCAGGCTAGAGCGCTGGCAGCTGCTGGTCAGGCTGCAGCACTGGCAACGGCCCGTCTGGCTCCGGTGCTGCTCGTGGTATCACCGGCTGGGGTGTAGAATGGAGCTTGGCCAGATGCTGGAACGACTTGAGCCTCTGTGGCTGTCACGAGGCAGGCTCGAGCACTGGCAGTCACTGGCCTGACTACACCACTGGAGCGCGTTGGACACCAAGACTGGGTGCAGCTCTGGCAACTGCTCGGCAGGCTCTAGGGCTGGCGCCGTGGAGGCTGGGTTGGTTCCGGCTGCTGGGCAGGAACAGGACTCAGGACTTATACTGCAGGTCTTCTGAGCCTGCGTAGTGCCATGGTCTCCCTGAAGAAGTTCTGGTAGGCCTCCAACTGCTGTCTGACCCGCTCCTTTCTGTAGGGGAACAGCAACCTGAGGTAAGACCTCTCCATGGCTCCAGTCTGCTGGACTTCCCAGTCCTCATGGCTCCAGTCTGCTGGACTTCCCAGTCCTCATGGCACCAGTCTGCTGGACTTCCCTGTCCTCATGGCTCCAGTCTGCTGGACTTCCCAGTCCTCATGGCTCCAGTCTGCTGGACTTCCCAGTCCTCATGGCTCCAGTCTGCTGGACTTCCCAGTCCTCATGGCTCCAATCTGCTGGACTTCCCAGTCCTCATGGCTCCAGTCTGCTGGACTTCCCTGTCCTCATGGCTCCAGTCTGCTGGACTTCCCTGTCCTCATGGCTCCAGTCTGCTGGACTTCCCTGTCCTCATGGCTCCAGTCTGCTGGACTTCCCAGTCCTCATGGCTCCAGTCTGCTGGACTTCCCAGTCCTCATGGCTCCAGTCTGCTGGACTTCCCAGTCCTCATGGCTCCAGTCTGCTGGACTTCCCAGTCCTCATGGCTCCAGTCTGCTGGACTTCCCAGTCCTCATGGCTCCAGTCTGCTGGACTTCCCAGTCCTCATGGCTCCAGTCTGCTGGACTTCCCAGTCCTCATGGCTCCAGTCTGCTGGACTTCCCAGTCCTCATGGCTCCAATCTGCTGGACTTCCCTGTCCTCATGGCTCCAATCTGCTGGACTTCCCTGTCCTCATGGCCCCAGTCTGCTGGACTTCCCAGTCCTCATGGCTCCAATCTGCTGGACTTCCCAGTCCTCATGGCTCCAGTCTGCTGGACTTCCCAGTCCTCATGGCTCCAATCTGCTGGACTTCCCTGTCCTCATGGCTCCAGTCTGCTGGACTTCCCAGTCCTCTTCTTGCCAGCGTGTGCACCTCGTCTGGGGCATGGCATGCGGCATGAATTGCATCCTGTCTCCACTGGTCATGTCCCAGGCCAATTGCACCTATCCGGCTCGAAAGACCAGTTGGTGGCGTTCTTTTTCAAGTACAATTCCTAAATCAGTAGAATAAACAATCAATGGAATCAATAGAATAAACTGCATAAACCGGAGATCATATGAATCAGTTCTATATGTAATTCTATGGCATAAACGATAACAATGAATGTCTTTAACATATCTGTGATTGTCTATCTTTCAGGCGCTACATTCCTAAGTTGAAGGACTATCCCAACCGATACATCTATGAGCCGTGGAGAGCCCCAGAGTCTGTCCAGAAGGCAGCCAAATGCATCGTGGGAGTGGACTACCCCCAGCCCATGATCAACCACGCAGAGGGCAGCAGGCTCAACATAGAGAGGATGAAGCAGGTCTACCAGCAACTCTCCCACTACAGAGGCCTCAGTGAGTCTAACTTATATTATTTAACCTTGATTTATACAGGTGAACAAGTTAAGAACATAGTTATTTACAATGACAACCTAGGATCAAGCTCTGAAGACGGCAGCAGTAGAAAAAGTCCACCTCACACGTCCTCACTAAAGGCCCCATGTGGCCGAGACATCTGAGGTTGGTTACAGTGGTCGTGTTCAGTGGGGAGAGGTTTTGTCCAATAACGCCGCAGATTTTTGGTTTCCGTTGAAAACCGTTTCGCTGTGGTTTGCCCTATTGAACTCGAGTCACGACCATGGTTTGGTTTCTTTTCATATAGTCTGAAAGGGGCTCTTTCTCGTCTGAAACCACATCCTGGTTCTCTCACAGTTCCTGCTGAGATAACTGTAGCATTTTGGCTCTTATGGGTAATCTTTTAACGGCCCCCAGCTCCACCATACTCCTCCTGTCATTTCTCTAAGAGCTGCATGTCTGTCATGATGACCCCACTCTGTCTGTCCATTATGTCTTCTCTCACTGATCATGTATCAGAAGCATTATGGTTACAACAGAAGTACCGTACATCCACTGTTGCAGGGAATGGATAGCTGCATGTATGCATGCATGCAGGTCAGGGGTAGACACTTCATGTTTTAACCGACCTGGAAGACTAGGTGTGTTGAATTTAGGCAATCGTTGAACTGATCAATTAGCTTAGTAGCTCAGTGTGGTGCCTGGCTGGGACAAAATCCTGCAATCCCTGAGTCACTCCAGGAACACTCCAAGTTCTGCTGTCTTATGGATGGGGCTGTCAGTCTGTCTGAGTTCTAACAGCACAGAATAGCATAGCATCCTGTTTCATGAAGCACATCTCCTGGTTTATTCTATGGCCCTAGAGAGCCTCCTAGTTGTTTTTACATTGGATGATTTGCCCTTGTTATGTTTTCATGCTGCATCAGTCGTTATGTAGGCTATTTCCAGTCAGTGGCTGCCATGGTAACATTGACTTAACGTTGGTCTGTGTCTGTCTGTCAGGTCTCCTGGCATCTGTGCCCACCATTCAGGAAGAGGCGGAGCCTCCCCCGACAGACGACTCTCAGGCCAGCAGCAGCACCTGTGGTATGTTGGACGGTGTAGTTCGTATTTTGTAGTCTTTTATTTTTATTTATCCTTTAATTAACCAGGGAAGTCCTGATCAAGAAAGCAGCATTTTTCACATTTTAGTTGCTGCTTAGTTGGATAAATAAAAAACAAGCAAATCATTTGGAATTTGATCACTTGAAGCTACCAACACAATGACATTGGCTTTTCTTTTCTTAAAGTTTCAATGCATCAGCTAGACAAGGAAATGTCGTCTTTATAACAGAAAGTGAATGATAAATGTACAGGAATAGACATTACTAATCTAAACTCTACTGAATGCAGATTCACCCCCACACACTTCGTCTGCCCAGTCCAACACTCTGAAGAGAGGCAGGCCCTCTGAACCACAAAGCACCCAGACGTGCACCCACACAAAACACCTGCACACCAGCCCTAGCAAAGACCAGGAGCAGCAATGGGAGGAACAGTCAGAACATCAGCCCGTGGATCTGCAGTGACACACGGTAATTAGCCAAACTATCTGAAGACACTGGGTTGTTCTTAATAGTTTTTTTTTTAAAGAGATTCATTTTACTTCAATCTATTAAAATAAAGTAAAATAAAATCATTCAATGCTCTTTTTTGGGGGTCTGTTTGTTGAAAAACAATATCCCATGTATAAATACAGTAATGTACGCACTCTTAAGGGTTAAAAAAAATATGTTTTGAGCAAAATAGTTGTTTTGTTGTTGACATAACTGCAAACTTCAAGGAGTTGGTCTGATGTGATGTCATCGGCCTCCTCGCTTGCTTGCGGGAACAATAGAGGATCAATAGAGAACAAAAGAGGAAAGCCCCACCCCCTACTTGTGCCATGTCATGAGGATACCTGGACCCCTTATTAGGGATGTGACAAATGGAGAAAAAAATTCTTAACATTTAAACTGCCCCCAAAATAATTGATTCCTCGACTCCTTGCACGTCGACTCCCGGTGTTGACTCCCATTTGAGTGTAAAGATTCGATTCTACAAGGAATCGACTCCTAATATTAAATATTTTTTGGAAGGGAGGAGACTATTTGCCTGCTTTCTGAGAACACAAACACTCGCATCTTTCATAGCGAGGGACAGAGAGGGGAGGGGCACAGTATAGGTAGGTCGGCCATCATGCAGACAGTCAGAACCATGTACTAGGCCGATCTATCGGCAATCAAAAGCTGTATCTCGCAATTGAATGCTGTATCCAGAAATGTCTTGGCTTGCAATGTCTCGCAACTTCAGTAAAGCAGGGCCTATCATCAATGAATAAGCTAGGATATTGAGATGTGCGAGATGCAACACTTCGCTCTCACACGGTCACACACTGTGTCTGCGCATGTGCACTGGTTCGCTTCACCGCTCTTAGTTGTTGTGGAAATGTATCCACAATGCTGTTTACTTTCTGCATCTACGTCCCCCCCAAAATGTAATAACATTGTTTTTCCGTTAGGGAGTTTTCTTAACGTCACACCCCTACCACATATTGAGATGAACTGCATCCTTTTTCTACTGGTGATAAATGAGGTGAAAGGAGACTGGAGTGTGACTTTAACTGTGACTTTGGTTTGTTATGTGTTTTTAGGAGCTTGCCATGTGGGATGGTGTATGGCAGAAAGACATGGCAGAAGACTTCTGATGTCCTGCGCTCACCCCTATCCTTCTGGCAAGACTGGTCACTTACATACATTCACACATACATACATACACAAACACACACACACACACACACACACACACACACAGTGTTTTACATACCATAACCGGTTTATAAAATCTACCAATAACAGCCAATCCAGATCAGTGTTAAAAACAGCACCATACTGGCCAATAATGTATGTGTATACAGCAAGGTTACAACGAGTGTATTATATAGCAGGTTAGTGCTTACACCTTTCCTTTCAGCTTTCCTAATCTGTTTTTTTTTTTTTTTTTACCACATTTTATTAGTGTGTGAATAACCGCTTTAAGACTACAATAGACCCTCAAAGATACTAACCTTAGAGTTAGGAACTCACCGGGCAATCTCAAACTGGGGGAAATGTTTCAAATCCCCAGAAAACTGAACACACGATAACAAAACACATAAATACGTAAATACGCAGTTCATATGTTCTATAAAGGTTTGATACGATTTTTATGTGCATTTCAAAGTTGTGGATATTTCAGTGTTCCGAACGACCTCAATTCTCGATGTGTTCATATCTCTGAGGTTCCACTGTCCATTTATCTGTTTGCTATTTTGCTGTATGTTATTTTGACTTCGATCACAATTACGTGATTGGTCTGGAAACTTAATATTTTGCCTGTGGCAGAGAAGATATATTATCAATCAGTGAAATAACCAACAATTAAAACTATGGAGAATCATAATCTGTCAAACCTTACTGGAAAAAGAACGGCAGTCAGCTGCTTCTACCCACCATGGAAAGTGAGGCTGCGGCCACACAGAATGATGAAACGTATGAAAAATGCATATGTATTCGTCACTGTTCATTCACCATTTAAACATGTCACAGACGAGTTGCTGATTTAAACTTGTCACGTATGAGTTGATTATTTAAACTTCTCACATATCAGTTGCTTATGTAAAAAATTTACTGACAAAACTGCTGATAGACATTTTATAATTTCTGTAGCCCATCAACCAACAGAACATCCACTGGCTCAATATGTTTTTGACGGATTCACAAAATCTGTCAGGCCTCAACACTACAACACTACAGTTAATGATAATACTGTCTATAATAATACAATAATTACTTGTTTTGCTAAATACATATGTGTAAAGGATTTGTATTAATTCCCGCTATATTCTGTTTATATTTACGCATTTATCAGCCGTGTGTGTGTGTGTGTGTGTGTGTGTGTGTGTGTGTGTGTGTGTGTGTGTGTGTGTATATTTTACCGTAAAAATTGATCTTTATCAAAACGAACATGACTTTCCCCAAAACCTTGGTAGCATTAAGATCATCTTATGTCCGTTGGTAGGCAGTTGATGAACAATGATCTTGGTGCTACACATGTGTTGGGAAACTCACCCCAGTGTTGTGGAACTACTCAGAAGGGTACGAGTTGAGTGGGAAATACTAACCGAGTCAACCTCCATTTATATTTCCCATTAACACAGAGACCATCTTGTCAACATTTGTCAGTCACCAAATATTGTACATCCCAAGCAAAAGTGTACATTCACTATAATTTAAGTTGCCATGATGAGCTTTTGTTAAATAGTTGTATTTATTTGTTTAGAATTGTACAAAGGAGTTTATTTTCATTAAAGCGCTGATATAATTGTGACCCCATTCAGTATTCTTGTTTGTAATTGTTTTATGGACCTTACTATCACATTCTGGAATTCACTATTGTAATGATGAAAATGACTGTAGTAGTAGTCTAGTTTGTAATAAATGTAGTTAATTCATTGCATTGTATATTTAGTGATTTACTGGAGGAGGAGGAGGTTATAATGTAACTTAGCCACTGGATGGCTACATGCAGTAGGTTAAAACAGGAATATACAGGAGGTTAGGTGACGGTAGCGAGGATGAAGAGACCAAGGCCAGGAGTGGAAAGAAATTATATTACTGCAAACAACAATCACTCAGCGACAATTAAGTCTAGTGAAAAAAGACTAAACAGGCAATAACCCACAATGCACAGGAAACATGCAGTATAAATATGGCTCAATCAGTAAAACAGTGAATTTTACCTCGATTGGGAGTCAATGACCAACCAGAAATAACGTGACAGCAAACATAGAAAATCCCCAAAACCCAACAAAACACAATACACCCTGGCTCAAATACAAAAATCCCAGAGCCAGAGTGTTACAGTACCCCCCCCTAAAGGTGCGCACTCCGGGCGCACCAGCATACAGTCTCGGGGAGGGTCTGGGTGGGCGTCTGTCCACGGTGGCGGTTCTGGCCCTGGTCGTGGTCCCCACCCCACCTTAGTCACCACCCGCCTCCCTAGCCTCCTCCACATGACCACCCCCCAATTAAACCCCACTGGACTAAGGGGCGGCACCGGACTAAGGGGCAGCACCGGACTAAGGGGCAGCACCGGACTAAGGGACAGTACCGGGCTAAGGGGCAGCACCGGGCTAAGGGGCAGCACTGGGCTAAGGGGCAGCACTGGGCTAAGGGGCAGCACCGGGCTAAGGGGCAGTACCTGACTAAGGGGCGGATCCTGGCTGGCTGGCTCTGGCGGATCCTGGCTGGACGGCTCATGGCAGGCTGAAGGATCTGGCTGCTCATGGCTGGCTGACGGATCTGGCTGCTCATGGCTGGCTGACGGATCGGGCTGCTCATGGCTGGCCGACGGATCTGGCTGCTCATGGCTGGCCGACGGATCTGGCTGCTCATGGCTGGCGGAAAGCTCTGGCTGATCCTGTCTGGCGGAAGGCTCTGGCTGATCCTGTCTGGCAGAAGGCTCTGGCTGATCCTGTCTGGCAGAAGGCTCTGGCTGATCCTGTCTGGCAGAAGGCTCTGGCTGATCCTGTCTGGCAGAAGGCTCTGGCTGATCCTGTCTGGCGGAAGGCTCTAGCGGCTCTGGTCTGGCGGACGGCTCTGATGGCTCATGGCAGACGGGCGGCTTTGCAGGCTTTAGGCAGACGGGCAGTTCAGGCCCCGTTGGGCAGACGGCAGACTCTGGCCGTCTGAGGCGCACCGTAGACTTAGTGCGGGTGGCCGGAACAGGCCGGACCGGGCTGGCGACGCGCACCGTAGTCTTGGTGCGGGTGGCAGGAACAGGCCGGGTCGGGCTGGCGACGCGCACCGTAGTCTTGGTGCGGGTGGCAGGAACAGGCCGGGTCGGGCTGGCGACGCGCACCGTAGACTTGGTGCGGGTGGCAGGAACAGGCCGGACCGGGCTGGCGACGCGCACCGTAGTCTTGGTGCGGGTGGCAGGAACAGGCCGGACCGGGCTGGCGACGCGCACCGTAGTCTTGGTGCGGGTGGCAGGAACAGGCCGGACCGGGCTGGCGACGCACACCGTAGACCTGGTGCGGGTGGCAGGAACAGGCCGGACCGGGCTGGCGACGCACACCGTAGACCTGGTGCGGGTAGCAGGAACAGGCCGGACCGGGCTGTGGAGACGGATAGGAGGCCTGGAGCGAACAGCGGACACCACCCGTCCTGGCTGAATGCCTACCCTCACACACTCTGTGTGAGGCATCAGCACAGGACGTACAGGGCGGTGTACCCCTGATCTGGTGGCCTCCTGGATACTCCCCCTTTTCTCCTCCGTCAGCCCCGTCCTCCATGCCGTGTGCCCCCCCCTAAAAATTTTCTGGGGTTGACACACGACCCTCCGACGATGGCCCTGCTGCCGCCGTTGCTCCTCTCTCGCCAGGGCCTTGATCCTTCCCCAAGGTCCCTTGCCTCCGAGCATGTCCTCCCAGGACCACGATGTGCCCACCTGGGCCATCGCCAGCCTCTCTATCTCCTTGCCCGGTGCCTCCTCCCATGTCCAGTCTCCCTGCTCCTGGACACGCTG